TAGTCTAGTCTATAGTCTAGTCTATAGTCTAGTCTATAGTCTAGTCTATAGTCTAGTCTATAGTCTAGTCTATAGTCTAGTCTATAGTCTAGTCTATAGTCTAGTCTATAGTCTAGTCTATGTCTAGTCTATAATCTAGTCTATAGTGTGGTCTATAGTATAGTCTGTTAATCTAGTCTATAGTGTAGTCTGTAGTCTAGTCTGTAGTCTAGTCTGTAGTCTAGTCTATAGTGTAGTCTATAGTCTAGTTCTATAGTCTAGTCTATAGTCTAATCTATAGTCTAGTCTATAGTCTAGTCTATAGTCTAGTCTATAGTCTAGTCTATAGTCTAGTCATAGTTAGTCTATAGTCTCGTTATAGTTAGTCTATAGTCTAGTCTATAGTTAGTCTATAGTTAGTCTATAGTCTAGTCTATAGTCTAGTCTATAGTCTAGTCTATAGTCTAGTCTATAGTCTAGGTCTATAGTCTAGTTCTATAGTCTAGTCTATAGTCTAGTCTATAGTCTAGTCTATAGTCTAGTCTATAGTCTAGTCTATAGTCTAGTCTATAGTCTAGTCTATAGTCTAGTCTATAGTCTAGTCTATAGTCTAGTCTATAGTCTAGTCTATAGTCTAGTCTATAGTCTAGTCTATAGTCTAGTCTAGTCTATAGTCTAGTCTAGTCTATATTCTAGTCTATAGTCTAGTCTATAGTCTAGTCTATAGTCTAGTCTATAGTCTAGTCTATAGTCTAGTCTAGTCTATAGTCTAGTCTAGTCTATATTCTAGTCTATAGTCTAGTCTATAGTCTAGTCTGTAGTCTGGTCTGTAGTCTAGTCAATAGTCTAGTCAATAGTCTAGTCTATAGTCTAGTCTGTAGTCTGGTCTGTAGTAGTCTAGTCTATAGTCTAGTCTATAGTCTAGTCTATACTCTAGTCTATAGTCTAGTCTATAGTCTAGTCTATAGTCTATTCTATAGTCTAGTCTATAGTTTAGTTTATAGTCTAGTCTATAGTCTAGTCTATAGTCTAGTCTATAGTCTAGTCTATAGTCTAGTCTATAGTCTAGTCTATAGTCTAGTCTATAGTCTAGTCTATAGTCTAGTCTATAGTCTAGTCTATAGTCTAGTCTATAGTCTAGTGTATAGTCTAGTCTATAGTCTAGTCTATAGTCTAGTCTATAGTCTAGTCTATAGTCTTGTCTATAGTCTAGTCTATAGTCAAGTCTATAGTCTAGTCTATAGTCTAGTCTATAGTCTAGTCTATAGTCTAGTCTATAGTCTAGTCTAGTCTATAGTCTAGTCTATAGTCCAGTCTAGTCTATAGTCTAGTCTATAGTCCAGTCTAGTCTATAGTCTAGTCTATAGTCTAGTCTATAGTCTAGTCTATAGTCTAGTCTAGTCTATAGTCTAGTCTATAGTCTAGTCTATAGTCTAGTCTATAGTCTAGTCTATAGTCTAGTCTATAGTCTAGTCTATAGTCTAGTCTATAGTCTAGTCTATAGTCTAGTCTATAGTCTAGTCTATAGTCTAGTCTATAGTCTAATCTATAGTCTAGTCTATAGTCTAGTCTATAGTCTAGTCTATAGTCTAGTCTATAGTCTAGTCTATAGTCTAGTCTATAGTCTAGTCTATAGTCTAGTCTATAGTCTAGTCTATAGTCTAGTCTATAGTCTAGTCTATAGTCTAGTCTATAGTTTAGTCTACAGTCTAGTCTATAGTCTAGTCTATAGTCTAGTCTATAGTCTAGTCTATAGTCTAGTATAGTCTATATTCTAGTCTATAGTCTAGTCTATAGTCTAGTCTGTAGTCTGGTCTGTAGTCTAGTCAATAGTCTAGTCAATGGTCTAGTCAATAGTCTAGTCTATAGTCTAGTCTATAGTCTAGTCTGTAGTCTGGTCTGTAGTCTAGTCAATAGTCTAGTCAATAGTCTAGTCAATAGTCTAGTCAATAGTCTAGTCAATAGTCTAGTCTATAGTCTAGTCTATATGCTAGTCTATAGTCTAGTTTAGTCTATAGTCTAGTCTATATGCTAGTCTATAGTCTAGTTTAGTCTATAGTCTAGTCTATAGTCTTGCCTATATTTTAGTTTAAAATTGTTGTCTTATTTATGTAAGTTAAGTTTTTAAAATTAATTGTATTTCTTTGCAGTTTTATTTTTATTGCCTTTTCTTTTTTATCATCATGCTGCTGTCTTTCAATATTTCTTTGTTGTCTAGCTTATAAGTGCAAAAGTTCAACTACTTTTATGCACTCGTTAAAGTAGGAGAAGTTGTATGAACTTGAATCACAATCACCGCATCAGAAATGTTGTCAATTTGGCGCGTTTTATAACAGACTTTTTGACAGCAAGTTACGTTATGTCTATATCTGAACATAAGTATTAGATTAATTTATTCTATACAATTACTTTCATATTGCCACTATTTGTCAGTATTTATGAAATGTGGCTAAAAGGGAGAAAAGGAGTTGCCACCTTTTTGTGTTGAATGTTTGAAATTTAACAAAATTTTGGGATTTTAATGTATAGCTCAATTAAAAATTTTTAATTTATAAATTTTGCATGTAAATCCGGTGAATTGCTTAAACAAGGTTGCCACACTTTTCATTAAAAGTTTTAAATTTATTAAAATGTTAATGTTTTTGTGTGTAACTCAATTCAATTAATTTAGTACTACAAAATCATAACATTACTTATGAAATCTGTTGAACTAGACTAACAAGGTTGCCAGCCTTTTAATCGAATGTTTTATATTACGAAGAATTTGCTTTATTTTCTGTATAATTTACTAAGTTTGTTTAAATATTACAAAATTTTATATATATTTCACCTTATAGAATGAAAAGTGTAACAATTGAAGCGACAGCGTTGCCACCTTTTTTCTATAAATATCTATAATTCACAAAAATTTACTATTTTAACATAAAACTTGTTTATTTTAGTTATAACTTGAAATTATTTATAAAAACATTTAAAAAATTTTAAAATAAAGTTGCCACCTTTTTCTTTAAAAGTCGTTTACTTATAAAATTATTGGGAATTACACAACAATAGGGGAAAACACTAGAAAAATTTTTAAATTTTATTAGTAAACAATATTTTAGAAAAATTCTATATAAAATTTAATTCCCAAATTGGCTATTAAAAATCCCCATTTTGGGAATCCACAAAAAAGTGGTAAAAACAGTTGGGGATAGTTAAAATTTCACAATAAAATAATACTTTAGAAACAAAATTTCAACAATTTTATTCCCAAATTAGGTATTGAAAATCCCCAATTGAATTCCTAAATTGGGTATTAAAAATCCCCATTTTGGGAATTTGACAAAATGCTAGAAAACCGTTTAGGGTTGTTTAAATTTTTATATAAAACAAAATTTTTGGAAAAAATTTGTATAAAATTGAATTCCCAAATTAGATATTGAAAATCGCCATTTTGGGAATTTGACGAAAAAAACACTAAAAACACTAGGGGATGATTTAAATTACATTATTTAGCTAAAGTTTGTAAAAAATCTTTAAAAAATTTAATTCCCAAAGTGGGTATTAAAAATCCCCATTTTAGGAATTCACATAAATTTGAGAAAAAATGTAAAAACACTTGGGGAAGGTTTAAATTACATTATTTAGCAAAAATTTTGTAAAACATCCTTAAAAAACTGAATTCCTAAAGTGGATATTAAAAATCTCCTTTTTTCACAAAAATGGTAAAAAAACTGAATAGGATTATTAAAATTACTTGAGTAAAGAAAATTATAGCAAAAATTCTTTAAAAAGTGGAATTCCCACATTGGGTATAAAAATCCTCATTTTAGGAATTTACATAAATTTAAGAAAAAAAGGTAAAAACACTTGGGGATGGTTTAAATTAAATTATTTAGCAAACATTTTGTAAAACATCCTTAAAAAACTGAATTCCTAAAGTGGGTATTAAAAATCCCCTTTTTGGGAATTTCACAAAAATCCTAAAAAACTGAATAGGATTGTTAAAATTACTTAAGTAAAGAAAATTATAGCAAAAATTCTTTAAAAATTGGAATTCCCAAATTGGATATTAAAAATCCTCATTTTGGGAATTTGACAAAAATGCTAAAAAACTGAATAGGATTGTTAAAATTGCTGAAGTAAACAAAATTATAGCAAAAATTCTTTAAAAATTGGAATTCCCAAAGTGGGTACTCAAAATCCCCATTTTAGGAATACACATAACTATGAGAAATAAAAGTAAAAACACTTGGGGATGGTTTAAATTACATTTTGTAAAAAAAATTTGTAAAAAATCTTTAAAAAAATGAATTCCCAAATTGGGTATTCAAAATCCCCATTTTGGGAATTTGACAAAAATGCTAAAAAACTGGATAGGATTGTTAAAATTGCTTAAGTAAACAAAATTATAGCAAAAATTATTTAAAAAAATTGAATTCTTAAAGTGGGTATTTAAAATCCCATTTTGGGAATTTACGAAAATTGTTTTAAATTATGTTAAATATGAAAATTTAAGGGAAATTTAAGTTTTTGTGGAAAAATAATTAATATTTTCAAGGTTATTGTACATAATATATAATGGATTTTGCTCAAAAAAACGACAACAAATTTAGCTTTTAAGGAAAATTATCAATGAAATACCGTTATCTTTTTATTTGCAGATATATTTTTGTTATTTTATTAATATTTGCAATATATTTATTTAATTATCAGTAGCTATTACTAAGTGAAAAGGTAACATAGAAACTAAAACAGCTGTTAAAATGAAAATAAGTCATGTGCTTAAGGAAGAAAGCAAAGCAAACAAATAAACTACTTATGCAGCACCTCCCTTAACCAAACCAACAACATCTTTCATGGCGTTGGTCATTAATATTGATTTTTATCATTTTCAAAACTACTACTCACACACACACACACACAAACACTTTTGAAGAAATCCCCCCCAGAAAACAAGAAAACTTATTTAACACCTTTTCCCCGCAAGATTATTTAATACTAAAGTAAAAAATTTTAAAATTTGTTTCAATACTTACAGTAAATTACGCACATCACAGGGTCGACACATGAAAGCCGGTATCAACACAATCGAATTGAAGGACACGAGTCCATAATAGATTAAAAATTTAAAATAATAACGAAATATATGACTGGTTTCATATAGAAATGGCAACATTAGTAAAACAATCAAACCGAACAGCTCAATATACGATGTCATCTTGTAAAATTTTTCTTCTTTTTTTCGCAATTTTTATTTTAGTTTCCTTTTTTATTATATTATAAATTTTTGGCGTTTTTTCTTATGTTACGTTTTTTATTTGTATTTATTTTCTTTCTTTTTGTTTGTTTTGTATATAAGTTTTTTTTTGGTTAAATGAAACCACGGAAACCAGGTTGAAGTGTAAAGGGTGGGTGGGGTTTGTCGGTGTTTCTTAAACGCTCTAGTTTGTTTTCTTTCTTTCACATTAGCCACACTTGTGTTTTTTTGTTGATAATATGTTTATAAACTTTGTTGCTGGAAAAGTAATAACATGTTAAAGTTGCCGGATAAAAAGTAAATTTGTAATGAAATTTCAAGATTTCTTTAAAAAAAACTCCAAATTATTAAAAAAAATTATAAAAAATTTCAGATTTTTTACAATTTATCAACATAATTTCACTAAAAACTTAAAAATTAAGCAAAATAATCGAAAAAAATTAAATTCCCAAATTGGTTATTAAAAATCCCCATTTTGGGAATTTGACAAAAATGCTCCAAAACCTTACAGGATTGCTTAAACTACTCAAAAAAACATAAATTTAGCAAAAAATCTTAAAAAAGTGGAATTCCTAAAGTGGGCATTTAAAATTCCCATTTTGGGAATTTGACAAAAATGCTCCAAAACCGTATAGGATTAACAAAACTACTCAATAAAACATAAATTTAGCTAAAACTTTTAAAAATTTGAATTCCTAAAGTGGGCATTTAAAATCCCCATTTTGGGAATTTGACAAAAATGCTCCAAAACCTTATAGGACTAATAAAACTACTCAATAAAACATAAATTTAACAAAAACTTTTAAAAATTTTAATTCCTAAAGTGGGCATTTAAAATCCCCAATTTTGGGAATTAACCAAAAATGATCAAAAACCTTGCAGGATTATTAAAACCACTTAATTAAACATAAATTTAGCCAAAAATTTTAAAAATTGGAATTCCTAAAGTGGGCATTTAAAATCCCCACTTTGGTAATTTGACATAAATGCTCCAAAACCTTACAGGATTACTAAAACTACTCAATAGAACATAAATTTACCAAAAAATCTTTAAAAACTGGAATTCCCAAATTGGTTATAAAAATTCCCCATTTTGGGAATTTGACAAAATGTGTCGGAGAAATTTGTACATAATATTACAATAAAACGAACATTTCGGTCAGAAAAAAATGTTACCATAATTTATAAAAAAGCTAATAAATTAAAATAACAAGGTTGCCACATTTTTCAAGAAATATTTAAAATTTTTGAAAATTTGCTAGTTTTAACATAACATTTAGTGCATTTTGTTTAATTTTGCCATTTTTTTGCACGATTTAATCAAAATTTCAAATAACTAAGTAACAGAGTTGCCACCTTTTTCTTTAAATATTTTAAATTTACCAAAAGTAAACAGTTTTAACCTATAACTTAGTAATATTGACCTAAAATTGCCTTAACTTGTTATAATTTATGAAATTTGACTAAAAAGGAGACACAGAGTTGCCACCTTTTTCGATTGAAGTTTTCAATTGATTAAAAATGCCCATTTTTAGCATACAAAATATTGCAATTTGTTTAATTTTTCTGTAACTTGTCACAATTTATGAAATTTTGCTAAAATTAGGTAATAGAGTTGCCACCTTTTTTATTAAATATTATAAATTTAAGGAGTTTTTTGCAATTTTATATACAATCGGGTAGAATATGTTTAATTTTGTCATAATTTATTAAATTTAGCTGATATGTAGAAACAAAGTTGCCACCCTTTTTTGAGCAAAGTTTTAAATTTAACAGTTTTAACCTAAAAAATAATGCAATTTGTTAAATTCTTCTGTAATTTGTCACAATTTATGAAATTTGCCTAAATCTAAGTAATAGGGTTGCCACCTTTTTCATTAAATATTATAAATTTAAGAAAATTTTTCCATTTTTATATGCAATCTGGTGGAATTTGTTTAATTTTATCAACATTTTTAAATTTCCCTAAAATGTAGAAAAAAAGTTGCCACCCTTTTTTAAGTAAAGTTTAAAATTTAATACTTTTAACCTTAGAAATAATGACATTTATTAAATTTTTGTGTAATGTGTCAAAATTTAAGAAAATTGTCTAAAACTAAGTAATAGAGTTGCCACCTTTATCATTAAGTATTGTAAATTTATGAAAATATTATCGTTTTTATCAACAATTTGATTGAATTTGTTTAATTTTTTTCATAATTTATTCAATATGGCTAAAATATATTAACAAAGTTGCCACCTTTTTTTAATAAATTTTGTAAATTTAACATTTAATAATTTTATCGCGCAATTTGAGCAAAACTAGTTTGATTATATCACAAAATTGGTTTTAACTTAAGAAAATTTCACAAAATGGAGTTAAAAAAGTTGCCACCTATTTCATTTAATACAATTTAAACTTATGAAAAATGTCTAGGATTATGAATAGAACTTTTTTTATATAAAATTGAGTTCCCAGAACTCCCAGAAACGTTTTTTAAGTTTCTGTTTATATTTTTTATAACTCTGGCAACATTTTGTTGCTGAATAAACATGTTTAGTTGCAGTTAAATTACAACATTTGTTAGTGATTGTTTAAAATGTTGCTGGCAACATTGTTGTTAATAAACATCATATGGCATTTCTCTTGCACTCTCCCTCTCTATTGCTTATTTATGGTATTGTTATTAAAATTTATTTTAGTTTTAATTTTTGTTATTTTTTTATAGAGAATTGATTATGTTTGTTGTTGTTTTTGTCTGCTCTAAAGAAATTCTGAATCATGGGGGTTTAGTTTGGAAACTCGGGGTATAATTGCAGAGTATTCAACTGGAATTAAGTGAGGCGTTAATTTTTGAGAGCAGCAGATGCAAAAAAAAAAAAAGAAAACAAAACAACAGATGCAGGAAAGAAAAGCAGAATTAAAGAAAAGTCATTTAAAGGCAAATTAAACAAAAAAATCCATATGAGTGTAAAAAAAACACACACAAATCATAAACAAAAATTAATGTTGTACAAAAAGAAAACGGAAAAGATTTAATTAAACAATAATTTATAGAAAATAGAACAGTTTTTAGTTCTTTTTTTAAAAGAAATCTTGAAACTTTTATATAATTTCTTTCCCGTAAAGCACTTTTCAAAAGTTGTAGGTACATACTTTTTTAAAATTTTTCTTTTAACATTTCTTTATTTCATACCAAAATTAAATTCTAACCGGCTTATTATTTATTTAAAGATTTTTTGTATTTGTTTTTTTTTCGTTCCTTAATTGCTTAAAGATGTTTTACACTTCGTTGCTTTTTTATTGGTTTCTGCAATTTTCATCACTTCTTTTGCACTTGTTTTAATTGAACTATTATCTTGTAGACTTTTTTTCTTTAAGCTAATTTTTCTTACTTTAAACAACTTCTAAATTGTTTATTTATATTTTTTTCTATTAATTAAACTGACCACTTAGTATTAAACACAAAACGACACAAAGAAATTTCTTTTTAATTAAAACATATTTTATTCTTTTTTCATTTCTTCTACTTAAACTAAAAATTAAGCGGGTTCACGTTTTATTCCTTAAATAGTTTGCTCAATACTAACGCCAGTCGTCAATAAAAACTGCAAATAAAAAGAACATTTCATCTTCTTTCGCCACAAAACACAATGATAACCACAACTACAAGTTCTAGTGTAATGAAAATGTAACAATATTTCTACTTTTAGCAATATTGCGCCGCTTTTCGCTGCAATTGTAATGATGTGCATCTCTCTTCAAGTGTATGTTTCTGTTTTTATTTATGTTCTCACTTTTATCCGGTTGTTTTCTTGTTGTTGTTTTTTAAGAGATATAAGGAGAGAGAAACAATGGGGTAGTTTATATTACAAAGACATTATGTTGCTCATAAAAGTTGCCAGATGTAGATGATCTATAGTAAGGGTTGTTGAGATGAAAACGGACAACTAACTAACTAACTAACTAACTAACTAACTAACTAACTACTAACTAACTAACTAACTAACTAACTAACTAACTAACTAACTAACTAACTAACTAACTAACTAACTAACTAACTAACTAACTAACTAACTAACTAACTAACTAACTAACTAACTAACTAACTAACTAACTAACTACTAACTACTAACTAACTAACTAACTAACTAACTAACTAACTAACTAACTAACTACTAACTAACTAACTAACTACTAACTAACTAACTAACTAACTACTAACTAACTAACTAACTACTAACTAACTAACTAACTAACTAACTACTAACTAACTAACTAACTAACTAACTAACTAACTAACTAACTAACTAACTAACTAACTAACTAACTAACTAACTAACTAACTAACTAACTAACTAACTAACTAACTAACTAACTAACTAACTAACTAACTAACTAACTAACTAACTAACTAACTAACTAACTAACTAACTAACTAACTAACTAACTAACTAACTAACTAACTAACTAACTAACTAACTAACTAACTAACTAACTAACTAACTAACTAACTACTAACTAACTAACTAACTAACTAACTAACTAACTAACTAACTAACTAACTAACTAACTAACTAACTAACTAACTAACTAACTAACTAACTAACTAACTAACTAACTAACTAACTAACTAACTAACTAACTAACTAACTAACTAACTAACTAACTACTAACTAACTAACTAACTAACTAACTAACTAACTAACTAACTACTAACTAACTAACTAACTAACTAACTAACTAACTAACTAACTAACTAACTAACTAACTAACTAACTAACTAACTAACTAACTAACTAACTACTAACTAACTAACTACTAACTAACTAACTAACTAACTAACTAACTAACTAACTAACTAACTAACTAACTAACTAACTACTAACTAACTAACTAACTAACTAACTAACTAACTAACTAACTAACTAACTAACTAACTAACTAACTAACTAACTAACTAACTAACTAACTAACTAACTAACTAACTAACTAACTAACTAACTAACTAACTAACTAACTAACTAACTAACTAACTAACTAACTAACTAACTAACTAACTAACTAACTAACTAACTAACTAACTAACTAACTAACTAACTAACTAACTAACTAACTAACTACTAACTAACTAACTAACTAACTAACTAACTAACTAACTAACTAACTAACTAACTAACTAACTACTAACTAACTAACTAACTAACTAACTAACTAACTAACTAACTAACTAACTAACTAACTAACTAACTAACTAACTAACTAACTAACTAACTAACTAACTAACTAACTAACTAACTAACTAACTAACTAACTAACTAACTAACTAACTAACTAACTAACTAACTACTAACTAACTAACTAACTAACTAACTAACTAACTAACTAACTAACTAACTAACTAACTAACTAACTAACTAACTAACTAACTAACTACTAACTAACTAACTAACTAACTAACTAACTAACTAACTAACTAACTAACTAACTAACTAACTAACTAACTAACTAACTAACTAACTAACTACTAACTAACTAACTAACTAACTAACTAACTAACTAACTAACTAACTAACTAACTAACTAGCTAACTAACTAACTAACTAACTAACTAACTAACTAACTAACTAACTAACTAACTAACTAACTAACTAACTAACTAACTAACTAACTAACTAACTAACTGACTAACTAACTAACTAACTGACTAACTAACTAACTAGTTCAGTCTATACACTGTTCTATTGTCCAGACTATAGACAATTCTAAAAAATTACCGTAATGTAGTAGTGCTGTAATAGTCTAGCGATTTTGCCAGACATTTAGTGATTTGAAAAGCAAAACAGTTACAATTACCATATGGCAGCTTTAAAACAAAGCAAACAGCATTGCCAACAGACGTTTGTAGGTAAACTGTATTACCAGCAAGCTAATAACATTTAATAGTATTATCTGCTGTTTTTCTTGATTGAACAGCTTTGCCGGCTGTTAATTAAAACGTTACTATATAAATAGAGGTCGTTTATGCTTGAAATTTGCATAAATTGTTAATAATTTATAGAATTGAGTGGGAATTAAAGAAATTTAGAAATTTGTTCTTTAAATTGTGATTAAATAAAACATATGTTTGGTTTATTTTTTAATAATTTTTTATTACATTTTACATGGATGTACATTGAAGGTATTTATGGTTGATTATTATTATTTTGTTTAATATTTATGTTTTTTCGGTTGTTTCCGGTTGAGGGATAATGCTTAAATTAAATTGTTTTGTTGTGGAAAATTTACACAAAAATAAATTAAATGTTTTAATTTTTTATGCTTTTCATGTATTGTGTGTGTATGTTTGGGGGGGCTAATAAATGTTTGATAGTTATATTTTTTCATAGAATTTTTTTTATTAATTTTTGTTTTTTTTTAATGGTTGAAGTTTTTTTTAAAGAAATACACAATTACACAAATTACTGTTTAATTATAAATATGTTAGTTTTTTGTTTTTTTTTTTTTTTGAATAAATTTAGGAATACATGTAAGTTTTTTTTGTTTTATTTTTTTTTTATTAGTAAGTGCTTTTGTTTAAATGTTTCAAATATTTTGTTTTGGTTTGTTTTCAAAAGTTTTTTTTGCTAAATATGGTTTAGATTTATTTTTTGTTTATTTTCTATATAAATTTAGGTTTTCTTGCACATATAAACATCAAATTATTATGGTTATAGTTATTTCTTTAAATTTTGTTTTTTCTGGGGGTCTAGAGAAATTTATTTTGATTTTTGCTTATTTTTTATGGTTAAATTATTATTATAATGGACGCAACATAAAATTTAAATAATTTCTAATTATTTATTAGGAATTAAGTTTTAGTTTATTTTTTTCAAATAGAAACTTTAGTTTTTTTTTAATAGATTTATGTGGAACTTAATTATGTTTTGTTTAGGTTTTATTTAATTTATTTTTTATATATTTAACTTTCTATAAATGCATTACAAATTTTATTTTCTTTTTACATAAATATATGTATTAAATATAGTTTATTTTTTTATGTTTTAATTTATGAAAATTTGAGGTAGATTTTCTTTATTATTTTTTTCTTTTAATATTTCTTATAATTTTTTAATATTTATATTACTTTTTTGTTTAAAGTTTTAAGTATACACACATTTAAAAAATATTGTTTTTTTATTTCATTAATGTTTTTTATATATTTTTTTATGGTAAATTGTATTTTGGCTTGTAAGTAGTAGTAGTAGTAAATAATTGGCTTAAGAGTGTTTTTAAGTTAATAAAAAAATAAAATAAAAAACAAAAATTCGTTGTTTGTAAAAAATATAAAAAAACTATTCAAGGGAAACCCTAATTGAAGCACTTTTTAAAAAAATCTTTAAAAAAAAAACTTTCAATCATAGCTCTTGCTACACTTACAAACTATTTTATTCATTAAAATCTCCAAAAACTTAAGAAATTTCTTAAAGAAAACATGTTTGGTTTAAAATTTTATTAAATTTTTAAAATCTCCTACAATTTTTGTATAATTTACTAAAATGTTTCTTATTTTAGTTGTTTATTCTATAAAACTTCATTAAATTTGCCGAAAAACTCAATAAAATCATTAAAATCTTTAAATTTCTGGTTATTATAAAGTATTTTATAAAAAAACATACTCCCAGCTCTGTAATTTACTTATTTATTAAATTTAAACACAGTGTAAACAAAACTAAGTGCTGCCTAGTTTGTTTATTTGTATAAAGAAAGAGCAAAACTCTTGCTGTACAAAGCAAAACATTATAACGGTTTTACTTACAAAACAAAATAAACCCAAGAACTTGGCAGCACTTTATTTACACTATTAAGTGAGACACTGAGTAAACAACATGTAAATAAAGCAAATTATACACAAGAAAGCAGCAAAAACAAAACAAATTAGAAATACTAATTAAAACCAATTGACAGCACTTAAGCAAAGCTGTTTAACTGAGAGAATGAGAGCAAATAACAAGGAATAAAGAGTTAAAAACATACAAAGTAATGGAAATATTAAATAAAAAGTTTTTAAAATGGAAAATTTCAAGGAAATTTAACATTAAAATAAAATTTTGTCGGAGAAAACTTTAATGCATATAAAAAAAGTTGACGGCAATCAAGTGTTAAACTAATTAAGTGCTGCCAAGTTTTAACTGGACTGTAAAGTGTTTAAAATTGAAAAATTTTAAGAAAAGTTCCAATATTTTACTGATTCACTAAAAATTTCAAACTTTACCGGTTTGTGGGTAAAAGGTTTTAAACAAATTTAGTGCTGCCAAGTTTGTGCTAGACTTCAAAGTGTTAAAAATTGTAAAATTCAATAAAAAAATCCTAATTTTATATCGATTTAAATAAATGTCTTTCAAAATGTTAACCAATTTAAGTGCTGCCAAGTTTATACTAGACACAAAGTGTTTAAAATGCTAAAAATTTAAAGAAATATTCAAATTTTTGTACTAATTATAGCATTGCAAAGGTTTCTACTCCCAGTTTAATTATCTTCTCAATTGCTAGTTTGTTATGTTCCATCTTAGACGATATTTGACAACAAATACTATCACCAACTTCAAGTAAAACTA